TAACTTTTGACCAAAAGGTCCTAACTAATGTATAACTTGAAACTAAACTCCCTAACTTTAATTAAAATATCTAACAAGTCCCTAGAATTCCTAGAAACTAAAAAACCCTAGAATTCAACCCTAAAACTAAAATCAAAATATGCATCCTTTAAAATATAATAGATATTAAAATAACTATAATTTTTCCCTCCATCATTATGCCTTTTAAAATTGGAAATTGAGGGATTCTTCATTTTGAGGAATTGCTGAGCAACCATATTACTGGTTTTGCATATTTTCTATTTGTTTATATTGCTCTTGCACTCAATTTACATCAAGTGGTATCCGAGCAACTTGATTCTTGTGGCTTTTCACTTTTCTTTATTTTTTTCTTTGGCCATTTTATTCATCCGATTGATGGCTGCGAGGATGCACATGATTGTGGTCGAAGGGGCAGGAATGCAGTGAATGCCGTGACTTTTGAGATATTTGGAATGCAAGAACAGATACCAACAACTTAGCCAGTTGGTTACAGATGTGACAGGCAATAATCGTGAAAATGGAAGTGATAGAGGCCTTGGTCATGTTAGAGGGGTAATGAATGATTTGGATCCATTTGCCCAAAGAGAAAATGATAACTCTAGCAATGGAAGTAGGGCAGAATCTGATAGGTCTAACAGGCGGAATGAGAGAGCACAACAATGGGAACATCGCACTGTAAGTGCTCTACAAAATGACAAAGAGTGTGGTGTTCGTGTTCAAATTGCAGAGTTTGATGGGGAAATGGAGGCTGAAAAATTTCTAGACTGGTTGGACAATTGAAAGTTATTTCGATTTGAAAGAGGTCCCGAAAGAGAAGAGTCAAACTGGTTGGAGCCAAGTTGAAAGGTCCAGCTTCCACTTGGTGGAAGCATTATCAACAAGATCATGAAATTAGGGGTAAGGGAAAGTATAGAAGATGGGATAAAATGAAGGACAAATTGAAGGCTTATTATAAGCAAACTTTGTATCAGAAAGTACAAAACCTGCATCATCGGGAGAAGACCGTGAATGAGTATACTCAGGAATTCCATCGAGTCACATTAAGGAGTAATTTGGCCGAAAATGAAACCCAAAGAGTCAGCTATGTATGTGAATGCTCTACAGTTGGTGATACAAGATCAAGCAGGCTTGTATCGACTCTATAAAGTGGTGCATATCAGCTTGTCTTAAAGGTGGAAGCCCAACTCAACCGTGGAACATCTAAGAAGATTGGGAATGATCGCAATGGCAGTGCAACATGCAGCTATGGAAAAAATGTCAACCATGGTTGGCGGGCAGCAGCCCCTACACATGCTAACAACAAAGCAAATCTTAATAATGGGAGAGGGGGTCAAGGTCGAGGCAGTGTTTCAAAATGCCCCCTAGAACAGTTCCAGTGAAAGCGTACGATCAGAGAGAAAAGACAGGTTAGTTCAGTGAAAGCTTGCAAATTCATTCTCTTTCCGGGTCATCCAGGTTATAGCAGGTCAGGGGAAGAGGAAAGTGGGAAAGACAGAAGGAAGTGATTGATTAGTTAATGCTCCAATACAGGCAGAGTTAGCAAAGGTACAGTTGTTCCTTTGTCTTGCGGGAAGGTCAGTTAAGCCCCTTTACTGGATTGGTAGGTCGAAGAGAAAGGCTTTTCAGCTTTGTTCGGCAAACCAAAAAGCATATAGATATGGTCGGTAGTTGCTATTTTAGGGAGGAAAACCCATGGCCTAATTCTTGAATGTATAAGTTAGGTTAGTTTTCTGATCTTGTCTTGCGCTTTGAAGGGAAGGCTTTCTAACTATGATCAAACTCTAGCGCACTTGGCTTAGCTTAGATAAAACCTCCCTTTCCGTTCTTCTTCACCTAGGCGGTTGGGGGTCCTGGCCGCCTAGCGCCTAGGCGAGCGCCAAGAACCTGGGCGGCCCGGTAGAATTTTTTTTTTTTTGGGTTATTCTCTCTCTAAAATAGGCTCTAATGGTTTTAAGTTTCACATTAACCTAAAACCCATAATTTGGCACCTTTAGTATTAAAAAAATGACCCAAAAATACCCTCAACGAGGGGCATTTCCGCCTCTGGGAGGGGCGCAGGCCTTGGGTTCCCGAGCGCCTAGGCAGGCACCTAGGGATATCCACTTTTTTTAGGCGCCTAGGCCTGGGCGATGCACCCAGGCCCCCAGAACCGCCTAAGCGGCCACCCAAGAGCTGAGCCGTCCGACTTTTGAAACACTGGGTCGAGACAATGTACAAGAGGGAATCAAATGCTTTAGGCATTCGAAAATTTGGGCGCAGATCAAATGAGTGTCCAAGAAGGAGAAATGAATTTCAAGTCAATCTAGCAGAAGACCACGATGTAGGAATTGAAGAGAACTTGGCACACATGAAAGTGACTCAACCTGAAGAAGTTCATGAGTCTCTTCATATTGAAGAGGAAGGACTTGAGAGCGACATGGTTGGGTAAACACTTGTCATCAGATGATCCATGTTGCCACTGCCGGTCTGGTCAAAACAAGCGATGATTGGCTTTGTAAAAATATTTTCAGAACATGTGTACAACTGGAGGAAAACTTTGCAACCCTATCATTGATAGTGGGAGTAGTGAAAATTTGATAGCTCACGAGATGGTAGACAAGCTGGAACTCAAGACTGTGAAGCACCCACAACCTTACCACATTCTTTAGTTCCACAAGGGGAATGAGGAACTTGTCTCTTCAATGCCCTATTGCTTTTTCAATTGGGAGTCCCTCTAAAGAAATGGTAATGGTGATGCGGTCCCCATGGATGGGTGTCTGTCTTAATGGGTCGTCCTTGGCAATATGATCAGAAAACTATCCATCATGGTAACAAGAACACCTATCCATTCTTCTTAAATGACAAGAAAATTGTTTTAAAGCCAATGGAGGATGATGCCTCGTTAAAGAGGGGAAGTGGAGCTTCATCTACCTTCTTGAATCTACATGAGTTCATGAACGAAGGTGAAAAGAGTCGGATGATCTTTGTGCTAGTCAGGAAAGAAGATATCAGGACATGACCAGTGCCAATGGGTGTGAATGAGTTTTTGGAAGAGTTCAAGGACATTTTACCTGAGGAGTTACCTAATGGGTTGTCCCTAATGAGGGAAATCCAACACCATATTGATTTGATACCATGAGCTGTCCTACCAAACCTACCCCACTACCGAATGAGCTTCAAAGGCAGGTATCTGAACTTCTACAATAGGGCCTTATTCGTGAGAGACTCTAAGCCCATGTGTTGTACCTGCCTTACTCACGCCAAAGAAGGATGGATCTTGGAGGATGTATGTAGATAGCAGAGCTTTAAATAAAATAATAATCAAGTATCGATTTCCACTACCGAGATTAGACCATATGCATGACATGTTATCTGGTTCTCAAGCCGTCTCCAAAATAGACTTAAGCAGTGAGTACCACCAAATAAGGATTAGAGAAGGAGATGAGTGGAAGATAGCTTTCAAGACCAAGGAGGGGCTCTATGAATGGCTGGTTATGCCATTTGGACTCTCGAAAGCTCCTAGTACCTTTATGAGATTTATGAATCAGGTATTGAAACCATACACCGGGTTGTTCGTTGTTATCCATTTCGATGATATTTTGGTGTACAATGGTAAGTCTCATGTTGACACTTGAGCGTATCCTACAACTCTTAAGACAAAATCAGCTAAGGTTTGTGGTGTTGGCTAAGGGTGTAGAGCTGGATCAATCCAAGCTTTTAGTTATCACAAGTTGGCCTGCCCCGTAGACCTTAACAGAGATTAGGAGTTTCCATGGGCTGGCCACATTTTATCAAAGGTTCATTAAAAATTTTAGCACCATAATGGAAGCAATAAAAAATGTTTTTAAGTGTGGAAGCTACAGTTGGAACTCTAGGGCTGAAGAGAGTTTTCAAGAGAGAGAGGAGGATGACAAAAGCACCAGTTCTAGCCTTGCCAGATTTTGATAAGGTCTTTGAAGTGGATTGTGATTCAAAAGTAGGTATTCAGGTTGTCTTAAGCCAAGAAGGGCGACCTATTACCTATTTCAGCAAGAAACTCAATGAAGCACGACAAAATTATGCTACCTATGACATTGAGTTCTTTGCCAATGTCCAAGCTCTGAAGTTCAGAGACACTACTTAATTGAAAGGGAGTTATCTTGCATTCAGATCACCAAGCCCTACGGTTCATCAATGCCCAAAAGAAATTAAGTATAACGTCGTGTCCTCATGGGCTTTAGGACATCATACACATTTTCTCCAAGGCCATAGCCATGGCTATAATATGCCAAAACTTATCTTTTGAGATATTGGCTTCAGACATTCATGATCCGAAGCCAAAAAAGGACATGGGATCCTGAAGGTCCAAATCATGTTTTTAAAATAATGGCTCCAGATCTTCAAGATCCAAAGTCATCACATAATAATTTGAATCTTGAAGTTCCAAAGTTGGAGAATTTTGAGAAAAATACAAATAAAATAGGGTATAACGATTCCCAATACCGGAACAGAATGAGTCATTAACTGAATAAGCTAAGCTATTCCAATTATCCGTATTTACACATTTCGAGGGGATTTTTATAATAATCCAAATTGAGGGGGAAGAAATTCTAAGAAAATGTCATCCAAGGGAGATCTGCTGGCCATATAAAATCCAGAACCCAACATAGGTTGCAAAAAGATGGGTCAACACTTCCTCAAAACCTGGAATCCCATCACAAACTTCAATGGAATTAAAAAGTTATTTCAAATTAGTAAGACTGAAGCATTTAAAATTTTACAGACGATTTTTTAATAATTTTATATAACAACCCCTTTGCCAGAGAAACAGAAAGATATGGGTTATCTATCCAACATTTATTTTTACTATTGTGACATTGCGAAAAAGGTACTCCTATGCACATTCCTTTAAAAGGACAGCAGCATTTCAACAGATAAGTATACATTCTAGCCATCCATATCACAGAAATCGAAAACACAAATATATCTTCAGTGAAAAAATAATTAGAATGCATACTTACTTTCCATGTGCTGTTAACTTCAGGAAACAAGCTCGTATCATTTCGGCTGCTACCTGCTCAGCAGAAATGAAAGAAATCAATTTCTGAAAGAATCGTAAAAAAAAAACTTTGTTTTTTGAAGGGTAACGTTTGAATCGGAAGATCAAGTATTATTCAGCTGATTCAGAAATATTTTTGATGCCTTAAAGGCAAGTGAAAGATTATTTACATGATGATAAAACAGTTTGCTAAGTCCAAAAAAGAGTTACTGAAAGGAAATAATCCAGAACAAGCCATTACACAAATTTTGTTATCAAAATAAATCACCTACAAAGTTTTCAGCGTCATCCTGCACCTAAGACATACAAATGTGCATCTTCACACAGATAAACATGCACCATGAAAAAGAGATAGAGAGGTAGATATGCCATGTGCAAATCAATTTTTCAAGAGTCGTAGATGCCAGGATTCCTCCAGCAAGCATGCCTTAACTTTAGATAGTAATGGGGCAGTGAACTAACTTCTCAACCACACCAAACATATCTTCCTTCAGCACAGCACCAAGTCCTTAGGAAGCTTCTCATCATTGTATCCATCTTTTGACATACCATAACTGGGATGTGGAAGACTGGAGATGAATTTCCAGAGATGTGTAATAGACCTGAGTCGATGAAGGACGCTCGGGCCCACATAGCTAATAGATTACTTTCACATCAAGTTACCATGCTTCCAAACTAATATTGCATGGAACTTCAAATAGAATGACCTCTAGATCTTGCAGTGGAACATATGACTCACTACATATCTAGAGCATGCATCATACACTTTAATAGATCTGTAAGCTGTGGAAATTTCTTTATGTTCCATCTACATATGCTATAGGGCTAGTTTGGTTCTCCCCCCATTTTCATGGAATCGTTCAATTTTGTTTTCCTAACCAACCTCACAACGTTTCTGCAAAGAACCAAGTCTACTAAGAGATATGGCATAGGAGAAAGAGGACTCCCCGTCCAAACCAAAGCTTGATTTGAGAAACCACCCATGTGATCCATTCATTTACAAACGGAATTTACTAATTCAGGAGTGGAAATGCAAGCTCTGAACACATCAATCCATTCAATTTGGAACCGGTACTAAGCTACATCCACTTTGACATACACAGAGACATCCATAATTTTCCATTTCATTTCATTGGTTCTCCATCTGGTCTTCACAAGACCTCCCAATTCCAATATTAAGCAGTACCTCTTTCACAACCGGAGAGATGCAAGAATTATTCATGACATTATATGCATCGACCATCCAAGATATCTTGAATAGATAGTATGAAGTCATTTATCATGTCATTGTCTAAATGGTGACCAAGGAAATTACCAAACCAGGATCCGGCTCATCCTACAAGCATGGGAATTATAGTGCATTATGCATTTTGGCATTTAATTATAGCATTATTGTTTTCGTTTTCCAGGAATAACAAGAAGTCGACAACAGGCTAAAGATGATTCCAATGAATCAGGTCCTTGCTGCCAGTCTATTAAAGAATCATATGAGTGATGCCATACCCACATCTTCATCTTCAATAGACTTGCTTCAATGATTATGTGAGCGGGATGACTGTTTGAGCGTATTTTTGACGCTCTAACACCCCTGGTCGAATAATAGAGAAGGCGGTTACGACCCACACACATAGGTACCAGTCACACCTGTGGACTACGAAAGCCCGCACCAATAAGCCTGATTTTTTATCAATTTTGAAAAGGTGTCCCCTTGGCTACAAAACATGAAAAGGGAGGCATTTGGTTTTCTAATAGTGCCCGCTAAGTTTCATCCCAATCCGGTCAAGATAAAGTAGATCAAGATGAAATTTACATTTCGCAGCACCACCCTCTATTATGCCGAAAGCTACCTCATAACTAGAGTTATGTCCTCAAGTTCTTAGATGAGTGTTAGACCACCACCATTGGATTCAAAAGGCCCAAAAACTCTCGAATACCAAATTTCAGCTCATTTGGATGCTTTTGGACCGTTCTAGGGCCAACTTACCCAAAATAGGTGGGTTTCACACTATTCACATGCTGCCCAATGAACTAGTTGCCATGTTTTCAGGATTGACTTGTAAAGGCCATTACTCTCTCATCCGGAGACCAATCAAGCCCAAATTTTGGTATGTGGTAGATCTCATCAAGCTGCATGTTTTGATATAAGGCACGGCTCAAGACGTCGTCCGAGATGAGATAAATCATAGAGAGAAAATGAACCTGAAACACGTGTTGCAGAATTTTTAAAGTAGAACATCCTCCCATTCGAGTGGCCATATCTCGGAGCCCCGACATCAGATAGCTTCAAATATGGGTCCATTGCGACCGTGTTTCGAAGAGCTTCGATTTGAGGTAAGATTTGCATGGGATGAAGGCCTGGAAGACACCTGATTTTGGCTCGCAAGAAGGCATATTTTCTGGTCGCCGGAATCCCGTTTTCCGGCTACCTCCAAAATTACAAAAGTGATCAAATGAGCACCAAATCAAGGGGTTTTCGTTGCAAAACGATCACAACGACCTCCCCTTCAATTTGTGATGAAGAAAATGATCGAAATCAAGGCAAGACAAGCTATATCGAGTGAAGAAAAATTCAAGTTCATGGGTTTGGCCGGATTTTGGGAACAACCCCAAAACTCCGATTCAAGCTCAATAATGGATATCAAAACAATCATTGTGACACAACCATCATTTTTGTGGTGTTGGATCGTCACTGGAAAGTACCCAAAAAAGCCCCGAACCACAAAGAAGGCAAGAGGCCCCTTTGTAGGGATAGTTTTGTCATTTCCATGAAAGATGGGAGGGGCAAAACAGTCATTTCACTCCAAAAAATAAATTCAATTTTAAACTAGAAAAAATATATTTTTTAGCAATTTGACATTGTTTTGATCACCCACCAATGTTTGGGGGAGATTTATATAAGCTCTTTTTCACCATTTGTAACCTAAGTTTGAGATAATTTGAAAGCTAGAGTTTGATAGCTTAAGTTTCTTGTGAGCTCTCAATCTTCACTTCAAGAGAGAGGAGAGAGAATATTTTAGAATTAGAGCAATACCCCTAGAATCTCTACACCATACTCCCTACCCTACCTTACACCATACACCCTAGTCTAACCATCCCAACCCACTCAACCCTACACCACACCATACTCCACGCCCATACTCCCTACACTCCACACCCATATTCCCTACACCCCACACCCATACTCTTTACACCATACCACACCACACTCCCGACCGTACCTTACACCATACACCGTAGCCTATCCATATTTGACCCATCCACTATATTCTACAGCCCATCTAAGCTAACCCTTACCTAATCCACCTTAGCCAACCCTCACCTTAGTCTTCCCAAGCTAGGCTCCACCCTAAGCCTAAGTCACAAACCTAACCTCTCTCAAGAGCACTCAAAGGACCCAAGGAGTAAACCTAACCGTCGAGTTCAAGCCCTCTTCGCACCCAACTAGGTAACTGGTCTACCTCTTTCCTCTCTCTCTTCTTCTTTCTTCTCTTTCTCTCTCTTCTTTTTTTCTTCTTCTCTTTCTTCTTCTTCCCTCCTCTCACTTCTCCTTTCTTCTCTCTCTCTCCAAAGTGGGGATGGCCTAGCCGCCCCCACTCTTTCTTCCCTCTCTCCCTCCAAAGTGGGATGGCCTAGCTGCCCCCACTCTTTCTTCTCTCTCTCTCTCACGCACAAAGGGGACAGCCCAGCTGCCCCCACTCTCTCTCCCTCTCTCTCTCTCTCTCTCTCTCT